CTGATTTCTTTTTAATTATAGGAAATGCGTTTTTCTAAGGTACATAAACTTTCGGGATTGACTGTATAGCGAATACATCCTTAAATTATATATTTCGCGATCGGGAACTTTGTAAACTATTCGCGATCATCACAGATAATTATTTCTCTCTTTACCATCGCGTATAGAAATCGGTCGATTTAAGTAAAGTACATCGTTACTCACGGTATTATTAAGAATTCTAAAAATCATTACTTACGTATATATTCGAAGATCAAAGTTAAAACAGTCTCGTTCTTGTAACGTTAAAAGGTACGACTGAATTTTGCGATCGTCTTATAAAACGGAAACACTTTCGACGCCAATAAAAAAGTACAAATTGCTGTAAAATACATAAAAATTTGTCGAACATCATAGGGAGGAAATGTATCGTCAGACTTTTGTTTGTTATGTATATGTAGAAACACGTATGTTTGTCTGTAGAGTGGGTAAAACCTGTTTCTTACGATCAATCCATGTATAAACGAATAGGGAAACGAATTTAACGATTGTTTCGTTCGTTAGCTAATTAAGTTCGATGACACTGATCGTTAAAATAGAAATACGTATAATATCAATTACATATTATATAGGGTCCGTCGTTAGTCGAAGGTAATACTGATTATGTTCTCGTTTGTAGTGCCAATAGATAAATCCAATTATAGATAGAATTAACAGGACCAACATCAGTATCGAGGATGTCAGTATCGCTGAAAATAATCGGTCACAATCAACTTGTATCGGCTCCTCATTATTCCGTTGTTGAAGGAACTTACCGATAACTGCCGTCGCGTTCATGCTGTACACGGCTTGTCCCCAAGTCATCGCGCATTCCTTTTCCCAGTCCACGGGTATCACGTCCTTCGTTAGGGTGATAAATTCATCCAGCGGACAGAGTGCCATGCAACCAGGAAGCGTTAAAAGTAGTGGTTCATCGCTCGAGTTCTTATAAGAGACCTATAAGGAAATCTTCATATCATTTCCGTCACTACCCGATGACAGCATCTTGCATCGTACCGTTACGAAATACTGATTCTTTGGATTCGCTCTGAGCTCGACCAGAATCGCAGCGGTGTACGGTGGACAATGAGGATCGAAGACGTTCAGAGTCATCAACATGTTCGCTACCGTTTCATCGTGTGCACTGTACATCCACACTTTTCTATCTGGTACCAAAGCGTTTTTTGATTTTTTCTCCATATGATCTATCATCTCACCCAGCAACGATCCCGACTTTAGTCTTTGAAGTATTTTATTGTAAGCGTTGGTCGTGAAACTTTTCGCAGCGAGCGGCTTAAGTACATCCGGGAATACAGATTTCGTCCATTCGGGTAAGGTTTTATTATAAATATTCTGTAACGAGGATAGATTAATAACTGAGTTTAAACGTTAGCAGTTGGCGTGCTTACTTCGATGAATAAAGTGTTGTAAAGTTGTTCGACGGTCCTGAGGGATGAAATCTTATTCCCTGACTTCTCGGTCAGATATTCATACAACTGTTTATTCTCTTTATCGACCTTTTTAAACGTCGGGGAATTGAGCACTTTTCCCAGCTCGTAGTTGTATTTAGGGCAATACTTTCTGCCGGCCAGGACGTAGTCCTTATCCTCGGGAATAGTATGCACAGGAATCGGCATCCATTTGATTTTGTCCCATACTTGCTTACCCGTAGGTGGATAGAGTCCAGCCAACTGGGCTTCTGCTGACATCAGAGTACGATCGACGTCCGTGCTTTGGATATAAATATCATACGGGGAGTACGTGTCGTTGAGTAGATGAGAATAGCGTTTCCGGAACCAACGACCCAGTATTAAATGTTGATGTTTTCCAAGCTGGAAAAAGGCAGAGGTGAACGGTGTATGATCTCTCTTCTACTAAATAAATGTATACGCACGTTGGTCAGTTGACCATATGGAACAGGCCATAGACTCTCATCGTTATAAGGATCATTCGGGTACGATCTTACAGGCGTCCTGTCCCCGTGTCTGTACAACTGAAAAAGGATGTAACATATCAACATTTGAATGAGTAACGTAAGTATATATACTCCTCATACGTGTTACATTTTCGACTTACGATATTCGCGAAAACGATCGTTCCTTGGTCCGCATCCTGAGCATGTGATAAATTTGTAATAAAAATTGCGAGAACAGTGATCAGTAGCAGATATTCACTCATATTGCAATGTGCAATTTGCACCTCTAAAGCGTTCATATAGAAGTCGAATAAGTCATCGATCTATTAATTACGACGCAACCTGTGGAATACACGTTCGAGCTTTGACATCTGTTAACACAACGCTATGACTGGACTTCTTATGTGTAATGCGATATAATTACGTAGTGGGTTAAAGTACGAGTTTACGTAATATACATACAGCGTTAAATGTTTCGTCGATAATTTACAAATAAGAGGTCTACGCATTGCAAAATTCATGGGAAACTCGGTCAACGATACGTCGTCGTCACTCGAAACCCAACCATGTTTTCGAGCTCTGCAACTCTGCAACTTTGCAATCTACCCAGTGTACCAATTGTCAACAGGATTATTTATATATAATCGTCTACCTCTGTATCTCTATTTGTAGAATAATGGAATGATTTCACAGAATCTCATACGCTAATTGTATCAGATCCATTTTACTGGACTTTCAATTTTATTTTATTTTAAATATCATGATTACGAGCAATTAAAATTGGTCACGGATATCTTGTTTTCTCGGAATAAAAAAAAAAACAAAAAATGCGTAATGTGCAGTTAGATGTAGACGTATATAGCTTTTTTTTAAAGTCTAATTGGAAGACCTAATCACCCGAGCCACGTTATCGTATTTTCCAACGAGCGACGACTATTTAAAAGCGCAAGGCCGGGAACGGGGAAAAAATACAGTTGAACAGGATGTTTCGAAATATTTTATTGAAATTGTACAAAGTAAAAAGTATCAATTTGCGAACAGGACAATTCATAATCGCTCTCCCATCCACTCATCCCATCACTCCCATCCACTCATGCACTCACGCACGCACATAATAAAACGTTTCCGAAAAGCATAATTACAGACACTAATTATCATTATTAGTTAAGAATCGCGTCTCTTTATACAATATTTGTACAGAATTTCCATGATGCATCTTAATTAGAAGAATGAACAGAAAAGTGTTGCGTGGGAAAGGGATCCTATTATCGAAAACGATAACGACCACACAACTTAAAATAATTTTCTTAAAAGAAATTGCACATTACAATAGAGTTAATCTTCTTTTCATCTTCTTTTTATCTCGTAACCTGAATGTACAATATAAAATTTGTATATAATCTTTTCTTTCTATATTACAATATATGGATACATATGATCGCTATTTATAATACATACGTATAAGTTACCTTTATAGGCAATGGATTAGATTATTTGTTACGTACAGATCGTGAATGAACAGAGACCGATCGGACACCATCCCGATTCTCTCGGTCATTTAAAATAAATATATCCTCCTACATAGTTTTAACGTGCGCGCGTTTCGCATGCAAACATCTCATAGAACGAATGCCTTACGTTCCTGCCTATATTTAAAAGATTTACCCTTCTATAAAAGTTTCCAAATGGTAACGAACCTCATAGGAAAAGAAATGCGTCTATCTCGCGTAATTAGATAGAATCGAACGTTTTCTAATAGTAAGTAGCGGGATACAGGGTACGAATAAAATAACATTAGGTATTGAGCATCGATCACAGACTCCGCTGCCGACTACGCCGCGTTAAGGTAATCAGAAATTGCACCACGAACGGCCATACGATTAAGAGAGCGAACAATCGTGGCGAACACTCCGGTAAAGGCCACCATTTCGGGCAAGAGATCATTGTAGGCTGTTCCTGGAAAATAATAACAATTACGTACATATAATTATTATTAGATGATAAATCATCGTACGTACTATGGGCGGAGCCATCGCTTGTAACGTGTAACCTTCCAAGCTGCGTACTCTGGCCGTTATTCTGTCTAAATCTCTTTGCAGATTTTGCATAGTGCTGGCTATTTGATTGAGAAACTCGGCATTCAATTTCTCGTCTCTGTTCACTCTTGAGATCTCTCTGCTCTTCTCCTGTGCACCTGTTTCTTCCGTTACCGTCGTTTCTATTCCGCTACAACCATTCGCGTTACCGTAACCGTTCACAGTCGCCTCCGAAGAATTCTCTTTGCGGGCGACCGACTCATTTATTTTATCGCTGGAGACGTTCAACCCGTTGCTCATCTTCTGGCCACCGGCAATCGCGTTCGAACACGTTTTCATCGACTCTTTTTGTGTCCTCTCCGGGGCAGACTGCGAATAAAACATTCGATTTTAGTACGATTCATTATTTCGATTTATCCTACCGCTGAGCAGCTTACTTCAACGGTATCTATAAATTCTTCTTCTCCGTCAGTGTCCAACGGAGTCGCGCTGTGGCTGGTAGCAGGACTAGTTTCTAAACTGCTCGCGATGTGCCGGGTCATATTACACGCTCTGTGCGGCGAGGTTTCTCTTGACGCTGTCAGACACACCAGAGAAATTAATTCATTTCGTATTTATTAGTCTTATCTCGAATCGGCAGGCGAACGACATACGAACCTAAGGGAGAGCCGGATAACGGCATATCTGGTTGCGAGCGCATACGTTCCAACACTGGGCCGAGAAGTAATTCCAAATCCTCGGGTGGAACGCTCTCGCAAAACGAATCCAAACTGTCTAAAAAGTTGGCCACTTTGTCTGTGTACGACATCGTTTCTACGATCTGTACGCAAATCAATTCATCGTTAAATCAATGCAATTTACTAATTTTTGCGGGGAACCGACCTTCTTCAATTCGTCTACATAGTTATTCATCGCTTCCGTTCTACTCATGTTACCCAACCGAGTCCAAGCGTCCCACTTTGCTTTTCTGACGACTTCCCAGAAAGCAGGCTTCGGTTGCTGGCATGGTCCTTCCGTGGCTTGTTTGTAGTACGCATAAAAACGTAGCATAATTTCGTTGCTAGGTTGATACGCACCTGAAATGACAATTACATTTATTATCTTTCCTATAGGAAAATTAGATTTTCGAGGATAAGATCTCTATTTTGATTGAAGATTGAAATCGTCGAAGATAACTGTTTTAGTGAACTCGTTTTATTACCCAATAAAAATTGACGTCACGTCGGGGATAGAAAAATCGCTCGTAATAATTATAATCTTGAAAAAACATTTAGCTATACTTATGATCGCTCAAGGGGAACGCTCTGGTTTTAAATGCAAGCTGCACTTTACCCGTTCCTGTTCTCTGTTAGAAAGTGAAATGAGAACACTCGCATGCATTATACTTGTAATAAAAGGAAAGTGTGCATTTGCGAATTTTTATAATACGGAATTAAAAATGTCCCTGACACGAGATCGATACATCTATGACTAATGCTTAATTTATCGCATGCTTAACGTAAGGAGACACGGGTTAATGTAAAAAATAGAAGATTCGTATAAAGTCTGCTTATATAAAGTTGGGCATTACGTGAATCCTTTTCCACGTTTAATTTTCATTCCATAAAATGCATATGCATAGATATTTTATTGATCAAGAGTGGACGTAGATTTTTGTTTGAAGAAAGGGCAGAATCGCGAATAGCGTGTAAACGAGAAGCATACGAGTTTATCTCGTCTTAAACGAAAACAAGAGATAGCGCATAATCTACGTACTGTATCTTGCCTAAAGAATGGACCTGGGGAAATTCGATTAAATGGTTTTGCGTCAATCGGATCTTTGTAACATATAATGCAAAAATGTCTTTAGTTACTTCGTTAATTATGTAGACGAGTAAAAAACTGGTCTGTCTAGTTACGTGTGAACAAGACAAGAGTAAAGAAAAAGGCGAGAAAGATGAAAAAAAACATAGTTGCGTCGTGTCGTATCGTGTCAGGTCGATTTTGCATATCCACGATAGGAGAAATATTTGGCTTGTGTTTTGATATCGAGCTCAGAAACGTTAAATGCATCGCGCATCGTCACGAAAGAAAGAAACAGAAGGGAGGTGGTTTACGAGGAATCAACGGGCTGGTGTTTATCTGATCGATCGTCCGTTATGATTTTACCATTTTTTGGTAGATTCCTTATCACATTGACGGCTGCCTGAAACTGTTCTTCCGTCGTCATGGCAAGATCCCGCAGCCTTTGAACGAACAGATATTTACGCTCACTTCGCTATAGCCTAGTCGCGTTCTCGTTTCGGCTGTCTACCTATATCGACCACACACTTTCAAGCGTTCGAGGACGGGTACCCTTACACTATCGCTACAAGGTATATATTTCTCGCTACGGCACCAACTCGTATGGACGTAACAAAAATGACTTGACGGTTTCTTTGGGTTGGATCAGTAAAACTGTTAAAAATGACGCGCAACAATGGAATGACAGATGACCGATTGATGACTGGCGATCGTCCGGTGATCATACCTACTGACTATCACAAAATTCACGGAGGCGCATGCGTGTTAAATGATCGCAGTTGTAAAGTACAATCCCCTTCCTTTCTCTTATTATTCATTAACTGCCATATATCTTTCGTACGCTAACGTTGCTAACAACCGTATGCACAGATTAGAGACCACTGTACTCGCAACTTACACTGTATGCACACTTCGTCCTACTCGATGTATTCGGTATTACATATAAATCGTTAGTTTTGAGTCTGGATTCTCCGAGAGACTCTGCCAGTAGAACGAGATGGCCATGGAAGTAGTGACATCAAAACGTTACTTCATCTCTTAAATTAAAATATCTGCTCGTTTTCCAGCAATACAGACTGCGATAAACACGTCGACGTTAATCGCTTGGTCTCCTAACTCGCTGTTGCAAACTGTGTATCGTTGTACGGATTCGGCCACCTGGATTGTTTAGTTAGAAAATTTTGCACGCAGGAATGGCCGGAGTTAAATCGTTTGGCCGTGGCCGTGGATGGGCCAAGCCTCATGGTGACGATGTCCCGTTACCTAAACCGGGAAGATTGTTGAATTCAAAATCAGAAGAATCTATCGACCATGACGATTTTGATACAGCTATCGATCTAGTTAACGTAGAGAACGTAGAGGAGATAGCAAACTCAGTGTCTCGACTGATAGATGATAAAATGAGAACGCAAGGTTTTAAGTACGTTCACAAACGTTGCCTTTCAATCGAAATAAACAATCGTACTTATAATACTTACTTCAGATTTCGCTTTTCATTGTAGGGATATATTCGGAAAGCTTTACAAACGTGCTGTAAAGGACAGAGAATTTGGGGACAAGTTAGTAAGATTCTGTTACTCTACGACGATAAAGAATATATATGATAACAATGGAAGCAGTTTCTTTAAGTTGTTAATAAACAATTTCCAGATCGATTATGAGAGTATGCAAATTTATGCTTTGATAATAACGTATATACTCTAACGCTGTAATAATCTTTTATTTCATGTGTTATGTTTTAGGGAGAGAGGAACTCAGGCGAAAAGATCCGACCGAATTTTATAGTGTAGTTTTCTTACTCACTAGATATACATTACATAGCAAAATTCAGACAAGAGTGATCTATCATGCACTGGTGAGTTATATGGAAATGTTGCTAGAAATGCATTCCGTCGAGGATATCAAACTGTTCAAGGAAATGGTACGTATCCGAAGCTGGAATCTTGATTATATTCGTTGTAATATTTTAATTATTTTACTTCATTACGTTTCAGATCGTTAAACTTGGCAATCGTTTGCAAACTGGTTACAAAGAGCCTGTTAAGGAGTTAATATTGACGTGTAGGACAATATTGATCAAGGAAGACGTCCCGGAGGCCTCTCGTTTAATGTTATTGTACGTGATAGACTTGGAGCGTAGAGGTTTCTCTCACCTGCCCAATTATTTGAAAGCATTTTACAAGTCGCAGCTGGGAGAAGAATATGAAGAACCATTACTAAATTGATCTTCGGTCTTTCTAAAAATTTAAGTACTGTTTAAAACGTGCGTGTCTGTACATTTTGGTACACCATATGTATATATTATATGCGATATTTAGTGTTTAAAGTAATATAAATAATAGGTAATAAATGTGACATGAACGTTGATGCATCGTTAAGACTCAAACAGAATTTTGGTAATTCATTTTTGTAATTTGGCTAATAAGATTCTACAACCAAATAGTGCACAATTTTTAATAATATGACCCATCATTCCCGTACATTTTCTCATTAGTTAATATCAAGCCTAAGAACTTTAAAACATCTCGTAGTCTGAGTGCATAATATCTATATTTCTCAGATCTTCGTATACTGAGTGCGTAATGTCCAGATCTCCCAGATACAGTGTTGTAAGATTTGAGGAATTTCGACCATGTGGCATGCATTGAGGAATGGTGAAACCCAGGTCTCAGTTACTAATAATGACTCTGTATCTTAATACAAATTTAAATACAGTTTTGATACCATTTTCTGTCTCTCTCTCCTTTATATCTTACCTCCCATTTTTCCTCTCTTTCCTCTACTGCATTCCAAATTCAAAAAGTACCGATTACTTATACTTAACTCGTTAAATACTGGAGTTAGAAGAAAAATGCATAAAATCTTTATTGTATGAAATTTCCTTTTAACTCTGCTTGTTAAGGAATGATTGGCGATGGACGAACTAATTACTCGATTAGGCCTGAAGTATTCGAGACAGAAGAAAAGTGTATATGACCTTTCTTGCAGGCAATAGCAGTGACTACAACTTCTGTTTCACACATTTTTCACTAGCGTCAGTAATTAATCAATACATAAAAATATACTTATTGCAAAATCTTTTCGTTGTCCTATCGAAAAATGTTTCAGATAAAAGTTGTAGCTCTAGTCGTCAGATACAATCTCGTCCTATACAATTTCTTCCTAGTTTGAATAATTTAAAAATACAAATTTGTAAATTATTG